TGCTTGGCTGCATAGTGAAGCCCATCGCTAGTCTGCCTGCTTCTCTCCTTTGCCAGGTTCCTCACTCACCTGTACAGGGGCCACGGCCTTCTAGGGGCCTCCCTGTCCTTGTGCTGCACCCTCTTGTCTCTTCTGTCCACAGCAGACACAGTGGAAACCACATCCTTGTGTCCATTTTTCAAAACCAGACAGTGACCAGGGTGAAATCCTAGTTTCTTATCATGCCTGGCATGGTTTGCGCCTTCTCACCGGCCATCCTCACCCCCTTTCCGGCTCACTCCCTGTGCCCTGGCCAGACAGAATGTCTTCGCCGCTGGGCTCTCACCCTTCCTTTCTCCTGATGTTTTTGTCAGATGTCACTTTCTTAGAGAAGACTCTGATTGCTTTATCTAAAATAGCCTTGGTCATGGTCATTTTCACCAGCTTACCTGTTTTCATGGACAAACTGCACTTACATTTAGTTTTTGTTTGGGTCTGCTCTGTCATAGATAGTCACTTTTTTTTTTAGTTATTAGGTCCCCAGAATGCAGATGTGAGCCCAGGATGCACCTGATCACTAATGGTAGATGAGTGGCTGATTCCCAGAGGCTTTTTTCCCAGAGGCAAAGATAGCTTTGCTTACCAGAGGCTCTCCTGTTGGAATCTCCAAGGGGCCATGGCTGGGCCATTTTGGGGATATGTCCATCTGCTGGGCGTCTTTGAGGCCAAGAGAGTCACTTTGCTGGGGAACAGAACTTCCAAATCCATTTTGAGGGAGTCCCATTTTAGGCAGGGCCCTGGTTCACGGTTGACCTGAGGGTGTCGAGCTCTGGTTTGCAAGAGGGACTCAGCACTTGGGAGGGATGGAGTGGAATCCCGGGCTGCGTGTGCTTGAGGACATCCTGCACTTTAATAGAGCTCAGCAGCATCCCTGGGTCTGCAGCCTGAGCCTGCAGGTGTAATCTGGGCCGAGGTCCCTGGCCACCAGAAATGTCTCATCTCTGGAGCTGTCCACCCACCCTTCATTGGGCGAGGCCTAAAGGCACTGTCTGGCTCTTTCTTAGTCCTTTTTACCCGACTCTTCTGCATGGGAAGTAGTGCTCCTGGTTCCCCATTTCCACACTGTCCCCCACTCCTCTGTGATAGTGCTTGCTACCCAAGTGCTTCCAGGGAAAGTGGTTCTCCATCTCTCTAAGAGCATACCTGCCTCTCCATAGACAGGACACAGGGGAAAGGGGAGTGGGGGACAAGACCCAGGAGGGGGAGGTGGGGCCAGCCTTCCTTCTTCCCTGTCTCCCAGCCCAGTCTGCAGCTTCCTAGTCTCCCTTCCTTCCTCCCTTTTCTTCCCCTTCTCCCATCAAGTGTCCCCTGTCTCTTCTCTCTATCCATCCTTCTGTCTTTACTGTGCACCCTTCCACTGGCCTTTTGTTTCCCAGACCTGTTTCTTTCTTCCGTCCTCCCATCCTCACCTCCTTTGTTGCCCGCTCTCGACTCCAGCATCCTTCCTGATCCCCAACTCCATGTCAGAGCCAGTGGGTTAGGTACAGCCCGTGTCCCGCAGCATGGCACCTAGTGAGTGGCAGGGTCTTAGGGATCTAACTTGTCACTATTAAGGCCCTCACTATTAAGTTGCCATGGTGTGGCATGTGGGACAAGTGACCTAAGGGACAGGTCTGTGGATTCAATGCAGGCTCCTTAAGGAGAGCCCAAGTGACTGCAGGAGCATCCCATCTTTGCAGCAGGGTTCTACCATAGGCTTGGGGGCATCAGAGCTGCTGTGGGGAACAGGGATTCCTTGTGGTGTGACCAGTCTGGCTGGCTACACAGGAGCAGACAAGGTTGCTGTCAAAAACGAGGCACCAGGAACCATGAGCCCTGGAGGAGGCAGGGCTGACAGCAAGAGATGGGGAAGGCTGGCAGACTGGACCTTGAGAGGGACTGGGGTTCAAGGAGGAAGCACAGCAGGTGCCTCAGCCTGGAAAAGAGAGAAAGGTTCTGGACAAGAGAGAAGGTTCCAGGGAGAGACAGGTTCTGCAGAAGCAGAGCGGAGGGGTCCTGAATGCTGCTTTCCAGAGAGGACCTTAGCTGGGGGAGGGTAGGGAGCACAGGGCGCTGGGGCAGGGAGGGGAGAAGAGGGACTCCTTAGGGCCCAAAGCCCTTCTCAGGCCCCTCCAAGGAAGGGAAGCTGAGAGGGAGGATGGGAAACTGGGAGGGATGGAGAGGGAGAGGAAGACAGAGAGAGACTTTGGAGGGACAGTGGAGGGAAGGCAGGAAGATTTGGGGGACGCAGACCAAGATGGGAAGTGGGAGGTGGCCTGGGCAGCTCTGACCTGCCCTGGAGTAGAGGATGCCCACAGTGCAGCCCATACAGCCGGTCCCCGTGCTCTGCTAGCAAAGCAGTACTCACCCTCTGTATGCAGCGCTGTTCCCTGGGTGGGCCGGCAGAATGCGGAACCAGCGCTGTCCTCCTCTGGCAGCTCTGTCCTCTGGGAGGGAGAGGCCACGTGCCAGGCGGAGAGTCTGTGAGTCACCTATCCTCACCCACACTCAGGTGCCAGTGGCTGAGGATGGCTACGTGTATGTGCCACACCTGTGTTCTGAAGGAGAAGAAAGCTGGGTGAGCCCTTTAGAGTGGGCGGGACTTCCTGCTCGGAAGTAAGTTATCTTTTGGGGGGAGAAGACTGCCATCCACCCACACCTCTTGACTATGCCCCACTTTCTGTGCCTTTGGAATGTACTTCCTGCTTTCGTCCTTTGATCTGGTGGTAGCTGCACCAGGGCAATGTCTGCCTGGTGTCCTTTCTTCCCTGTGTCCCCTTAGCATGGAGTCTCCATGGGAGGCTGGGTGACAGGAGCACTCATGTCTAGCTTCGGGTGATGCCCCTGACTGTGTTATCGCTAAATGCGAGTCACTTACTTGCACTGAAATAGTGGTTTCTTTCATCGAGGAAGACAGAATTACTATACTGGCATTTTGCTTTCTCCCAGCCCTGAATCTAGACAGCATCAGAGGTCTGATGCTGTCACCTTTCCCCGACCTACAGTGACTCTAACGACATCAGACATCAGAAGCTCCTCCTCGTTAGACAGGCTCAGAAAGGCACCAATGCAACTAACTCAATTTCCTTCCCTAGGGCTCCTCTATGGCCTCACCCTGCAGCCTCCTGCTAATGTTGGGCTGACAGCGCCTTTGCTGTGGTCAGCCAACTCTGGGTAGCCCCTAAGCAGTGGGTGGGCACAGCCATAAGGCTGGTGCTGGGCCCTTCTTGATTCAGGGCAGAGGGTTTGTCCTATCATGGCTACACAGCCATGTAGAGATGGTGGGTAATGTTCTGATCCATGGCAGGATGCTGGAGGACAACCTGGTGCATGGCTTCCTGGGTGCAAACGCCCTCCCTATGTTCTGTCGTTGGGATTCACAAAGCTTCTGAGTGAACAGCCCCTGGAGAATCGTCCTAGAATTTTGCAAGCCATGAGCCTGGCTATAAAATCCCAGTCTGCATTTCCCACTTCTGCACCCCCTCCCTAAATATAAGTAGTATGGGGAGCAAGCAGATAAGTTTTCTGAGAGCCAGCTAGGGACTGGGGACTTGCTCTGTTCAGCGTTGACATGGAACCTCACGAAGTGTGTTGTGGAGTATTTGCTTTTTATTCTTTAGATTTTCATGATACAGAGAAAATCAAAATGCAAAATGTAATCTGAGTGAGGCAAGAAGAAAGACAGAAGAAAAATAGGAGGGTGGGGGACAGAGAAAAAGAGAGAGACAGGGAGACAGAGAGAGACAGAAAAGTAGTTTTGACTGCAGGGGAGTTTGAGATACAAACTTTTGCCTTATGGCTCAAGACAGGTGAATGGAAATTTCTTTACAAAGGTGACATCCTTGTGGCATTTGAGAAAACATTTCTAGAGTGCACTCAGCTAATACCTTTTAGGTTGTCAGAAATGGAGTGTTTTCCTTTCCTTTTTTTTTTTTTTTTTTGGTACTGAGAATCAAACTCACAATCTCATGCTTGCCAGGCAGGTGCTCGTGCAACTGAGCTGTATCCCCAACCCTTGGATGGAATGTTTCCAAAGCGGCAGGCTGAGGTCTAAACTTCGTGGGCTGAGGCTGCTGCCACAGATCCTGCAGCCCACCTCACAAATTCTCACTTATAGAGCAGCACCCTTGACCCTATTCTACTTCTGTACTCCAAATGTACAACTTTGGGTTCAGTAAAACACAACCAAGGAAAAGAGGACTTTGCCTCCCCATAAAGTCCCTTCTGTAAGATGGCAAAACAATTCAGAGTCCAGTGTACACTGGATGAGGAGTGGGCTGGAGCTCACAGGCTGCTGAGTGGCCTTGACCACCCAGCCGATGGCTCTGGAGCCACTGTGGACAACTCTAACGAGGGGTCTTATTGTACCCTTGCGTGTCCCAAGAGAAGACATTATCTACATGGAACTCATTTCATTTCAACACAGATTAGAAAAGTAGAAAATCTAGCTGGCTGATACTTTCCTGGTCTTGGTTTTGGTGCCAAACACAACATCCCTAAGCCTATCGGTTTCAGATTCTCGTTTTGGATCCACTGAGTACTTCCCCGATCACTGAACATGCTTGGCCCATTGAAATTTGTGTGGAATTTGGAGGTATTGTAAAGAGCTCTGTAAGTCAGGGAGAAAACAAGATCCCATCTGTACTTCCACAGCTCCTCATTTTCAGAGTTCCAAGGAAGGGTGAGCATGTGCCAGTGAGCCTTATTTCTCTTATTTTCTCTTGTCCCATCTAGGGTAAAGATAGTTAGAAGCCCCCTCTCCTTTTTTTCAGGTGGCAATTTCCCTCTGAAAAGAAGCTGAGAAAATGTGGTTCATTATAGCAAAGGTCACATAGTTTCTATTTTGTAATATCTCAAAGAATTGGGGCAGTGGGGCTATCTAATATTTTTAACCCAGCAAATTGCTGGATGAATGCTGTGTGCGTCTTAGGGATGTGTGTAGGTTTGACGTCTAGAATTTCTAACAGGTCTTATTTTTGCAGTTCCTGACCACCTCGGCTTTAAGAATATTCTGCACCCAGGAGGGAGCTACATTACTTTAAGACTTGCTGGTAAGCACCCTCACTATATAGTTTTGTAATGTCTGTCCGTGAGTCTGAGGGCTGGGGGAGGGAAGTCAGGCTGCTTTCTGTGGGGTTCCAAGGCCCTATGTTGAGTGAGTCTGGTCCACCAGGTGCTCTCTTTTACGTCAGGGCTGAGTGTGCTGTGGAGAAACTCCCAGACTCAGATTTCAGGGAGGTTTACAGGTTCCAGGGGGACGAACATGTGATGTTAAGCTTCACATGAGGCTCAGCATGGGGCCACCTGAAGAGCAAAGCACCACGAGGGTGGCTCCTGTGTGACATCTTGCATTGCTGTCAGGCCCTATGTAAGGGCCACCTGCGTGCCATTCCGCCGTCACTTGCCATGTGGTTCGCAGGGCCAGCCCAGTCTTGGGGGACACCTGTCCCAGAGCACCTTGGGGTTTGTCATCTCTGTCAGACTCATGATCACTAAGTCAGTGATGGAGTGGATTCCATCACAAGAACCAATGATAGCTGGAAATAAAATGCAGAAGGAAGAGCAGTGCATACACTTGATACTGAGGTGGCTGTGTGGAGATCACCCAATCTCTTGGCGACCTCAGCCTCAGAACTAATTAGCAGAGCCCACCTTTGCCTGACCACGGGTCTCTCGGGTCACTACATAAACCAGGGAAATTGATAGTGGCATTATGCACTCAGAAATTAATTTTATATCATACTGAATATATATTTTTTATTGTGACTTTATCTTGTTGGAAAAGTGCTTACTTCTGATTTTGTGGATATTACTGACCGTGGATTACTTTTATTTTGGTTTTTACACAACAGTTATATTAGAAATTTGCTGTTTTATTCTTACCTTCTTAGTAAAAATCCTTTTATCACACAATGGGTAATTTATATCCATTACCAGGCCTTTCAATCCTTTTCAGTGCGGCTGTCAGTGCCGTTGGCACAGTAATGATTAATGTGATCTAATAATAGTGTGCCATTATATTACCTTAGTAAAACATGTACCAACATCCTATTCGGATCTACCAAATTCATAGCTTCCTATAATATTTTTGTTGAAAGACAGGATTACTATTTTTCAAAGCTGATTTTTCCCCTTTAACATATTTAATGAAATTCACAATTCTTTGCCTTAGTAATCCTGGTGTGTGATTGGGCTTGATGGGTGAATTTTACATCTGTAAGGCACCGTCCTGATTTGTCAGGCAAGAGGTTTGACAGTCCCAGTGATCCACCAGGAAGATTATTTTGTTTTTGTTGGGCCAAGCTTGTTTTGCCTTGAAGAAAAAAAAAAAATTGCTGGGTTTCCAGTCCTTTTGACTTACAATGAAGAAGGTGTGTTTTTAGACAAAGGGGAAAGGAGTAAGTACTTTGCCTCAAAGACGCTTTTCTTCCTGGTCCTGTGTCTTCTCTTCTGTCACTTGCTTGAATCTGCTGGCAGACAGAGGGCACGGCAGAGCGGGTAGAAGTAGTGTCAAACCACTTCCCCGGAAATGCCCCTCTCGGACCCACTCTTCCCTTCCTCCTGTGCTGTTATCTCTACCTGGTCCAGGTCTGATGTGCGATTTCTCAGCTTTCGCATTATTGGCATTTGGGGCTGGCTACATCTTGGCCTGAGGAAGCTGTGCTGTACATTGCAGGATGTTTAGCAGCTTCCCTGGCCTTTACCCACCAGATGCCAGGAGCATACTCCTTTCCCTCACTGTCACAACTAGCATGTCTCTGGAAATCACCAGATGTTCCCCGGGAGGCCCAAGCAGCACTTGCTTGAGAACCACTATGTGATAAACAACACAGGCAGGTATGCTTAACATGGCAGAACTCCCATCAGAGTTCCAGAGTTTCCTGGTACTCCTTGGGCACCTTTGGCTTCGGGAAAGAGACAGTGTGAATGATGGTACACATTGCTTCCTTTTCTTAGTTCAAATACAGTCCTTTTACTTCATTCTCCCTCCTCCTCTACCTTAGAGTCTGGCCCGAGCGAAGGCCTGGGACTTAGTTTCTTCCACTTAAATCCCATTATAATCATGCTTGTGATTGATAACATTCCACCTTTTCAAAAGAGCTTTAAAATCTGTGTCAAGCAAGGCAGACATTATTGTAGTGCTGGGGAGATGTATTCAAACAATTACACACTCAAATCAAAGTGGGAAGGTTTGTCCTTCTATCCTGGTGCCTTTGTGATGATGTGGCTTTAGCCTGCACCTCAGCCCCCACAACTTCAGAAACCTTCAGCAGAAAAATAAATGGGAAGAAACAGGCTTGGCCCTTGATACCACTCAGCTCTGAAAGCAGCTTAAATACTTGGGCTTCTTAGGTTAGAGGGTAGGTTGGGGAGGAAGGAGGGTCATTAAGCATGGCAGGTGACAGAGAGAGAGAGAGAGAGAGAGAGAGAGAGAGAGAGAGAGAGAGAGAGAGAGAATCGCCTTGTTTTTGATTCAGAACAAAAATTACTGCTGCAACATTGGCTCGAAATATGCAATCAACTGAAATCAGGAAAAGTATTTTGAATACAAAATTTATATTGAAATACTTGAGTCAATGTGTGTCCACCCACATACATGTATATATTTAAATCAAAGATAGAGAAGATGAGAAATAAAGCTTTTGTCATAAAAATATTTCCAGCAGTATTTATCCTCAGATGATTCTGCCACATTGGAATACATTTTTGTACGATTAACATTTTCCATATGAGATGCTCTTGTTTGTTTTTACAACTGATCTTTGATGATAACAACGAATGAGTGAATGGATCCAATTTACCTTTGGGTTAGGAAGATTTCGAATATGTTGTAATGTTTGGTACATGAAGCTTTTTGGTGACCCATTCCTTTTTACACATTTTTGGTTTCTCTCCCCCCATTGTAGTATAAGCCCAGTGTGACTAAAAGGCTTTTGCGTTTTGTTCAATGTTATTTTCCTAGTTTTTGGAAGGTGCTGATACATAGTATGTTCTCAAAGAGTGGGTAGGTGGATGGGTGGGTGAGTGGCTAGCTAGCTGGGTGATTGGATGAGTGAATGGATGGAAGGGCAGGTGGATAGGTGGTTGAATGGGTGTATGCATGTGTGGATGAATGATAAATGGACCAATGGATGGATGTGTAGATGGATTGTTGAATGGGTGGGTCAATGGATTGGTGGTTGGATAGATGATGGGTAGAAGGGTGATGTGAATGGATGGACGGTTGATTTCATGAGTGGGTAGATGGAACTCTATCTGAAGTCATACTATAAACCTTAGAATACTGGCCCCAGTGGTCCAATTTAAATACCACTTTTACTGTTTCCTTACTCTTTGGTCTCAAAACATCTTTTACAATTCAATATGGTCAGTTATAGCAAGACATGCTCTTTATCTCCTCTTTTCAATTTAGCTTTTTAAAATAGAATAAACTATCTGAGACTGCATTAGGCGATCCATATAAATGGAAGAATACTGCGCTTTAAAAATATATTAAAAAATCTTAAGTGCATGTACACAGATGACTGGGTCTCAAGACGTAAAAGCAGAGTGGGAGAAGGTGACCTTTTTCAAAGTAGAACATGGATGCGGAATTCATGAGACTCAGAAGATCTTTCATCTCCTTGACTGGACATCTGCCTTCTGACTGGACTGTATTTTACAGTATATTTCATGTGTTTAGAGTGTATCCCTTTCAAACGTGGCGTACTTGCTCTCTCTGGACTGGCCAGTACTCACTATTGGGATCAGCTACCATTAGGAGACAGGAGGAGACCTCAAGGAGTGGAATTCCCAAACCCAGCCATGGTGTGTACAGTGTGCTCATCTGTTGGGACACTTAGTCTCAGTGATGGAAATGGTCCAAGTCACTGCATCTTTGACTTTTAAATTATTGCCCAATGGACATCACAGCAGTACCAGTGAGAAAATAATAAGGAAGAGAGGGAAATAAATTAGCTGCCACTCGCTCTAATCTGGAGACCTATAGCGAATGCAAAGGCTCCCCGGATTGGAAGTCTGGTTCTTCTGCTCACAAACTCCATGATCATGTGTCTGGGTACTTACATCTCAGTTTTTTCTTCTGTAATTTAGGAGTGCGATCAGTTACACTGTGTGATGCATTTAAAACAATGCCTGGCTGTAAGCAGGCATTTAATAAAAAGTATGTCACTGTTATTAGTTTCACTTTCTCTGTTTAGTCATCTTTTTGCCTTTTCCCCATTTTTATTCAAGTATATACCATTTTCAGATAATTAGCTTCTCTCCCGCACCCTGCGGGCTCATACCAGGGCTAGGAACCCCAAGCTGTTGCCAAGCATGTGGTCTCCCCAGAAGCCCTGGGGACTCTGGTTAGCAAGTTCAGAGGACATCAGAAAGGGTGGTGAGTTTCTTAAAGCCAATTTCCCCATCCCTTCTCTTTGTGAAGGAACACTGTTGACATACCACTGAGGATTGGGGATTTGTTTGGTGTTTGGGGAGTGCATTCCTGGGATGAGAGCCACGTGGTCATGGTGGGAGGGAACTGCCTGCTCCAGCAAGGGAGGAGACGCACACGCACGGCATCCCCTCGCAAGCAAGGCTGCCCAGCATCATGGCCCAGTTTTATATTTTTAGCTTCTACTGAAATTTAATGTTTTGCTTTTGGTTTATTATGTATGCAAGTATCTTGCTGATAAATTACATGTGTAATTGTACCATCGTAACCACGGCTAGTCAGCGACAACATATAATTAAACTCACCCTTGTAGTCATTGAACTTTTCTGTCCCTGACAAGATCACTGACCACTCCAAGGAGGGTGTACCTTAGTGTAGGAGCCCTGTGAACGCCTAAGCGGCCTGGCCGCGCTCTCATCCGTGGCCCGTGGCTACCCAAGTGCACCTGGCCTGTGCCTGAAACATGCTTGGGCCGGCTTCCCTTGACCAGCAGCGGACAAGAAGAAAGAATTGGATTGTAAACCTCGGGATGCATCTTTGTCTATGCTCAGATGAGTTTTTAGCCCCAAAGTAAGTTCTTGGCAAAAAAACCGAAAAATAAAAACAACTTGGAGT